GCCCTCGGACAGCTGCGATTGGGCTTCCCTGGTCTTCGGCACTGCACAAATACCTGCTTTCATGTCCTCTCTCAAATTCAGGAGCTGCGGTGATGTTCATTTATCCATAAAGCAGAGCTCCATGCATTGGTTTAAGGATAGGGTTCCCTGTGGCAGAAAAAGTCGAGTGTGGTCCTCATTTCTCATACCGATCACGATGCCTTCGCGTACGAGAGAGTCCCGCAGGCAGTCACAGAAGTTGCACGATCCACAATGTAGACCAGGACTCGATAGTTCGAAACGATGAACGATAGCTTGACTCAGAAGGACAACGATTGCCGCGGGAGCCGGTAGAGGCGTCGTCTAGACTATGACCCGGATGTGTCTACCGACTGTCATGGACGCAGCGTAAATTGTCTCAATTTTCGCGCCCTGAGAAAACCTCGACGAATTCTAACGGCAGTCCGGAAATCCAATAGGATTTCACACGATGCACCTCGCACCAATTGCGGAGTCTGCGTACCGCAATTTGCACAGCGCTTCACGCGATGAGGCGCAGACTAGGGATATTCGAAAGATCGACACATTTTGGTCAGTGTTTGAGGACAGTATGTTTCGTGATAAATTGGATGCCTGTGGGCTCTGTATTTAACGATGTTAAGCCGTAACACTGAAGTTACTGTTAGGTACTGGGTCTGCTCCGATAAAAAAGATGAACATTGCTTTGGCGGACAAACGTACACGTGGTACACAACTGCTGCTATTTCATCGCACCTATGTTCCCATTAAAGTAGACAAACTGACGTGCACGTGCGAAATAAGTTTTCCACGTACCTGCAGTCGTATCAAAGGTAATGTTAAAGCACAGTTACGGTGGGTACGCCAGTAGACTGAAAACTAGCTTCGAAAAAAGCACGGTAGGGAAAAAGCATCACTTTCAACAAGACCGTTCACATTAGGAACAATCACGACTTGGTAGTATTTTGCTTCCGTGCTAAGTGAGCCAAGTTCAATCTGCGAATTCCTTTTCCTGAATAACTGACGATACTTAAAGTTTACCCGGTTGTTTCAGTTCATTTTAGTGCAGTTGATAAATCATGATCCGGGCACCAAAGTGTTGTGGATATTTTTGCCGCGCATCGCTTCGCCAGAGTAGCTAAAATGAAGAATGGTAGATAAATGCGGTTAGATTTAACTATGATATTAGCAGAATGGGAGAAAGAACGAGGTGCATGAAGCTAATCGCATTGAAGTAAGAACAGGTACATGTAAGAGAACGAATCCAGGGGCAGCACAGACTCCAACAATGCGCCACGTCCGGTAGAGTGTTTAAACATTTATTTGGACTAACACGTGACCCCATTTACGGAAACGGCACGTACTTGGTTAACTAAGTCTCTCGGTCAATTTCAGGGTGAAACATGTGGACTTTGCCCTAGTTTTATCAGGGCTTCATTATCATGCATACTAGTAATGGCACCAAAAGTATCGTAATAGGAGAATGCAGTTATCCGCAATGTATCTCTTCTGTAATAGTGAGCAATCTGCGAGTGCGCAGTCGACCTCACTTTATGTTAAAAATCAAGGTTTCTAGACTGAAAAAGGTTTGACAGGTTACCTGGTCATTCTCGTTTCTTTTGTATTAAAAGCAGGCGGTCTTGTGTCGAGTGTGGATATTCCATGGTTGTAACGTTGGTCACAACGGTTAACCCGCTCACAGCTGGGATCCGAGTATGAATTCGCAACCCTACTCACCAAGCAATTAGTGCAAGCAGTTAGTGTCATTTGCATGAAACATTTTGTCTAATGTTTTGGGTGAGCGACATACCGCCCAGAGATTCACATGATCTGGACTACTTGCCTTCCCAGCATGTAGCGGTAGGTACTCTGGTGTTGTATGGAGAATACCTTGCATTTGCTTGCTTCGCAACTCCGCAGCTATTCGTTTGGCCACTGTTGTACCATGTCCAAGTTATTCTGCAGCGTATCCAGATCGGCCTTCGACAGAATCCTGCGCTCTATCTTGATGTCGTCAGCAAGCATTAGAAAACTTGAACCCGGTCGTTGACAAATACCAAAAACAATCGTGACGCTAGAACAGAGCCCTGAAGCATAGCACATGCGACATGTATGGGATTTGATAACGAGTTTTGAACTCTAACCACCAGCTGCCATTTAGGAGCAAGTTAGCAATCCAGGTAAAAAGGGGGTCACCGATGCCATAATACTGCGGCTTAGAGAGAAGAATCCGTTGAGCTAGGCAGTCGACTGCCTTCGAGTAATCATAGTAGACCACATGGACGTTCTCTCCTGCGTCAGCCGACTCGGTCCAGCTACTCCGGGTTATCAGTAGATTTGTTGTGCAGGATCGCTGTCGGCGAAAGCCATGTTGCTCGAGAGCAATGATTTAGCAGTTTTCCGGATAACCCACCAATGCATGGGCAAAGATGGATTCCTTGACTTTGGACAGTACAGGATGAAGTGATACCGCTAAAAACTGAGCCAACGGTTCTACCAGTTGTCGTGACGCTGCTGCCAGTGCTTCTGGGCCAGTAATATCGACACTAGGAGAGCTGTGGTTGAGCAGAGACGTAAGCTTTTGCAGGACAGCTTCCGCGGTAAACGTGATGTGGTTGTGTTCCTGTGTTGGCACAACAAATGATGGAAGATCACGTGGTGGCAAGACTGTCTTAAATGTAGACTCCTGTTGCCTTCTTGGATACTATGATTCAGTGTGTAACAAGCTATACTTCTGGGAACAACTGCAATAAGGCCGGTGCTATTGACTGCATCTGAGACTTGCCCACCTTGTACGGAAGACATCAAACGGCTGGCCGTCTTTGATCCCCAGGTCTCACGCAGTATTGTGCACATCTGGTGGAAACATAGGGTGAGCAATGCTGAGGTCCACCAGTTGTTTTTTGCAACCAACACTCCGGTGCCTCAGTTCAGTGTCTGTTGAAGTTGAATCGCTAACGTCGATTAGATTATGTACTCCGTAAACCAGTTAACCGCTTTCCTCGGCGAGCATCATAGGCCATCACTGCACCATGTTGGGCGAAACAAGGATGTGTTCAATCGATGACGTGGCATAGGGGTATGAAAAATTAACCGAGTGAGTTGGTCAACCAGGCAGATGGATGCCTCGTGTTAGTCCAAACAAATGTTTAAAGACTCTACCGGACGTGGCGCATTGTCGGAGTCTGTGCTATCCCTGGATTCGTTCTCTTACATGTACCTGTTCTTACTTCAATGCGATTAGCTTCATGAAACTCGTTCTTTCTCCCATCCTACTAATACCATAGTTAAATCTAACCGCATTTACCTATCATTCTTCATTTTAGCTACTCTGGCGAAGCGATTCGTGTCAAAACATCCACAGCACTTTGGTGCCCGGATCATGATTTATCAACTGCACTAAACTAAACTGAAACAACCGGGTAAACTTTAAGTATCGTCAGTTATATAGGAAAAGGAATTTGCAGATAGAACTTGGCTCACTTAACACGAAAGCAAAATACTACCAAGTCGTGATTGTTCCTAATGTGAACGGTCTTGTTGAAAGTGATGCTTTTTCCCTACAGTGCTTTTTTCGAAGCTAGTTTTCAGTCTACTGGCGTGCCCACCGTAACTGTGTTTTAACATTACCTTTGATACGACTGCAGGTACGTGGAAAACTTATTTCGCACGTGCACGTCAGTTTGTCTACTTTAATGGGAACATAGGTGCGATGAAATAGCAGCAGTTGTGTACCACGTGTACGTTCGTCCGCCAACGCAATGTTCATCTTTTTTAACGCAGCAGACCCAGTACCTAACAGTAACTTCAGTGCTACGGCTAAACATCGTTAAATACAGAGCCCACAGGCATCCAATTTATCGCGAAACATACTGTCCTCAAACACTGACCAAAATGTGTCGATCTTTCGATTATCCCTAGTCTGCGCCTCATCGCGTGAAGCGCTGTGCAAGTTGCGGTACGCAGACTCCGCAATTGGTGCGAGGTGCATCGTGTGAGATCCTATGGGTTCTCTGGACTGCCGTTAGAATTCGTCGAGGTTTTCTCAGGCGCGCAAGTGAGACAATTTACGCTGCGTCCATGACAGTCGGTAGACACATCCCGGCCACACCGTAGTTGCAGTGACTAGTGACTGGTCTTTGATGGCTAATCGAATTGCGTAAATATTTAGCGACATGCTTTAATACACATGATTTTGTTATTGCACATTTTTGCGCTTGTTTGTTGCTCCCATCTTCGTACTATTGTTAGTCTCTTGTAAAATACCATTATACCCCTTTGGGAGAAAATTTCTTCCAGGTTTGGAACCCCCGGTTTACATGAAGATAACTAGGTCGCCATCGCATTTCTGTGCGTTGTCATATGTTGGTATTTAGCTCTTGGGAAAGTTTGCTTTACGGTTTTTCTCGCACTATGTCCAAGGAATCAACTTGTGGACTTCTTATTTTCAGCTCTTTTTTGGAATGTATAAAGCAAGCTAGATAACTTTGGGGGCGCTACCGGGCCCGCACTCGTCGGATGAATCCGGTATATTCTTTCGTACTGGCTTGTTTGGGTCAATGTATCAGTTGAGTTAACGAAATACTCTACACCTTCAACTGTTGAATGCCTGCGCATTCTGGACGAAGCAGTCACCAGCCTCATGCAATGGTTTTGCAGCATAAGCTAGTGGATCGAAATTGTCTTGGCACTGAATTATGAATTATATCTGATATTGTGAATGACCGTTCAGAGACAGCAACGAGTAAGCATAACGCCTCAGCCTATATTGCTCCCCAAATTTTCATTAGCAATTGACCATTATTTCAGACAGATTTGCGGACGATCCATAGATTTACTCTTCTGTCAAGAGTGAACAGTTGCGAACTAATTAAATCTATTTATCCTTCGCAAATCTCTCTAAAACCATAACTTCACGATCGCTTCCAATTTTATTATAAGAATTGACCACTGATTTTCCCTGATAATCCTTCTCTCATCTTCCCACTCCAACACATGTACAGACTCGACGTCGTCGTCATCATCATTCCTCAAATAATAAATAAATCACTCCTTTCAACTGAAAGGAGTGTGGAAGACGCTGTCAAACTGACCTGCGTCGCTATTGCCAACGGCCCGCCGGAGATGGTATTCGAATTCGGTCGCACCCAATGGCGAACTGATGCACCAGAGTGGATTCCGATCGAACCGCGCTATGGTCTCAACACTAGACGTATCGCACCGGATCGGGAGAACCCTACGCTCCACCGATTGGTTTTGGATATTTCAGGTTCGACCCTTCTGAATTTGATGTTACTGTTACCGGTACTGCTAAGTACGCTTTCCTGATGGATGGACTAGACCATTTTCCGTGGGACACAAACGCGCTGTACATTCGGTAGTGGTGGGTTTCTCTAGGATACATCTCACGGGTTCGGTTACTTCCGGCATTGAGAAAATTGCAATCTCTCCGTGATACGCATTGTTGGCAGGTGTCGGATTTGAGCAGAGCTACAGCGCCTGAATCGCAGATGCATAGTTCAGCTGTCAACTCACGGCGGCTACGCTGTTGGCCGATATTAATTTGGTTTTTTACTTTTCCTATGTAACAGGGGACTATTGTTGCAGAATTCAGTCCTTCAGGGACAAACGTTTATTGGGCAAAGTCAAGTCCACTAAAATTATAGCGTGTTTCGCAAGCCAAACTTCTTGCTAAAAATTGCACGTTCGAATCCATAATTAACGACCCTTCTGAGTCGATGAGGTTTCTCCTTTGTTTCAGTTAAACAGAAGTGAATCCCTCACACGAATATCGTCCCATCAGGGTCCAGTAATCGAATTCGTCACGTCCGCCTCCCAATGGTTTTCAACCTCGCTCGGTTGGTCCATCTGCTCACTCTGATCTTATACGATGACTACGTCCTCCTTTTTTCATGTGCTTAGTCCTCTATATTTAAATCCACCCCGTACAACTTGTCGCTCCGTGTCGTCTTTGCTGCATTTGCGGCCGTGATCTCCTTGCCCCACGACATCTGGTATTCCAAACTTAATCCACATTGTTGTCTCTAGTGTCATCTCAAGTGCACTCGATCACTTCGGAACGTTTTCCCACCAAGGTTTATTTCTTATGACCTGGAACAGACCCTCGCAGTCACCACACCTTTATTTCATTGCTCCTGTCTATCGGGTAATGATTGAACCAACACTTCTTCCCGCACTGTTAGCTCAGGTAGTACCCGTGCACCGCGGTCGTAGTACTGTTTCTCAGTGGTCATTTGTCGTCTCAGGTTGTTCTGTAATCACACGTGCCTTGGTGAAACTGGGTGCAAAAAAGTGGCAGATGCCGGTATCAGAGTTCTAGTTTTTCGGCTGTAAAGGTGCTGCACATGGCTCAAACTGATATTCGTTGAAGGAGTGTTGCGATTCTCTAGTAGCATGAGGTACGGGTCCTTGCCACCTGCTCCAGCCTTTAATAACAGTCGCTTGGCCTACTGCACTGCCGACTGCGCCATTCCATTCGATTGACTCTGATATGGGCTGATTTACTGACGCACGAGTTCCCACTTGGTTGCACAGGCTTGGAACGCAGCGCTGGTAGACTGCGGCCCATTGTCGGGGACCAGCTCATCCGATATACCGTGTCGCGCTAACTGAAATTTGTGCTTATTGATTACTGCCTCTGTGGTCGTAGGGGTGAGTGGATAGATTTCAAAAAATCACTATAGTTATTCACGGTGAGTAAGCACACTCTCCCGTTAGCAATGAATAAATCCACCACCACCTTCTGCCACGGTCTGTCAGGGACATGATGCAGCAGCATTGGTTCCCTCGTCTGAAGGATTTCGTGTGAACGGCCCGCCTCACAATTCGTTACAAGATAGCTGAGTTGACCCGTCATTCCGGGCCAAAAGATCAGTTCTCTTGCTCGGTTAATGGTATAGCTGGCACCCAGGTAAGCGCGATGAACGTATTTCAGCATTTATCCTCTGAGAGATGACAGAATCAGAGTACGTTTTCCCTTGAACAGCAAAACATCATAGACAGAGAGTTCATCCAGAAAATCGAAGTAGGGCGTTAGTTACTTCGGTAGCTGCTTCTTTGTCTCTGGCCAACCATGTTGAATAACGTCTAGTAAAGCTGAAAACATTGCACCTTCCTCTGTTTCGTGTCTTACTTTCTTTTAGGTGATCTTTTTTCACTGCCAGATGCTGTACTAAGTTTACTGCTTCGCCCTCTTACGGATTATGCTAGGGTACCGGCAGATAATCTCTTGACAGAGCGTCTGCGATGAACATCTGTGCACCAGGCGTATACACAATATCCACGTCGTATTTTTGAAGCCGGATAAACATACGCTGAAGGCGACCAGGAACGACGTGCAGCGATTTGCTGGCTATCAACACAAGCGGTTTGTCGTCGGTAAACAGTTGTCCTTTCGAATGTATACTTCTTGAAACGCTCTGTGGCATAGACTACCGCAAACACCTACTTCTCGATCTGCGCATAGCGCTGCTCGGTCACGGTGTGCTCGATTGCGGAAATCCAAAGGTTTTCCATTCCGTGATAGAACAGCATCTACTCCGTCTTGCTTACTGTTACAATCCACCTCCAAACACTGCACAGGAAAGTAATTCCCAAGCACAGGTGCGTTGCTTATAAGGCGCTTAATAGTTAGAATGCGGTTTCCTGTTCTTTTTTGTGAGTTAACTTTCTGATCGGCGTCAACATATCAGCGAGTCTTGGCATTAAACGTCTCAAGTAATTCAGCATACCGTTTAAGCGATAGATTCCCTTCACCTCATTTGGGGGCGGCATCTCTCAACTTGCATTAATTTTTCTTGGATCTACGCTGACCCATTGGATTGTTAACAAATTCCCATGGAAAATCACCTTGTCTTTCCGAAGTTCAATTATCTCACCTTTAAGCTTGATATTCTTTGCACACAACGCTGCAAGGAACAGTGGAGATTAGCGCTATACTCTTCTTCTGTCGAGTCATAGACCAAAACATCGTGTGCCACGCAGGCTAACAATCTAAATTGTCTACTGCTTACACTAACAGTTTTTTGCAAAATTTCACCCGACAACTTCAAACCAAAACTGTAAACGCCGCCAACGAAAAGGCCTGGACGGTGTCACAAATGTAACAAGGCAACTGGATTCTTCATCTAAAACCACGTGCCAGAATGCCGAAGAGATGCTTAGTTTCGTGAAACACAGCTTTGACCAAACGCGGCAAAATCTCTTCTAGGGTAGGTAGTGCATAATGTGCTCTACGCAAAGCCTCAATCAACCGTTTTGGGTCAGTACACACACGCAGTTCGCCCGTCTTCTTCGTAATGATTGCGACCTGACTAACCCATTCGGTTGGCTAGTTAACTTTGGCATTCACACCCACTCACAATAACTTGCTCGATTCAGCGGAGAACCTGCCACGCAGTTCAAATGGAACTCTCCTGCCTGTCGTATCAGTATCTAAGGAAAACTGAGAGGTTCCCTCAAAGTTTTCCAGTCGGATACTGGTCACTAATGTCGGTTTCTCCCTGGCAACTATGCACAAAACGAGTATGATTAAATACCACGAAACCGGGATATTGGATCGAATCAATGCCGAGAATCGGCTTGAGCTTCTCATGCACAATCACAACCAGTCGATGTGAGGCTCCGTCCTTTGGGTTAACCACTTCGGTTGCAGCTGAGCCCTTCGGAATAAGTCTAGAACCATTTCACATACGCAAGCTATCTTGATCGGAGGGATGCACACCCCGTGACAATGTTTCCTTGATAGCAGGTTGACAGTAGCTCTCATGTCTAACTGGAATCGTACTGCTTGGCTCCGATCAACAGACTTGCGTAGACACATTTTTGCGACACCCTCCGAGACACGTTGCCAATTGCATGTTCTGCATCTGCCGGTGACTTGTCACGAACGACAGCACTCACATTGGTTGATCGGCAGCAAGGAGCTCGGGTGTCGTGCGGCACAAACGTTACAAACTGCCTTTCCCACGTTAGTAGCGTTCGCTACCTCGCATCCGTAAACGTCACACAATTCTGTATCACTGGCGATTTTCATTTGCTGGTACTGATAGATCGTAGAGGACTCACTGCTGCCGATATCGATGCAGTGCTACCGTGAGAATGTGCGTTGTAGCAAAAGCCGCTTTGTTGTATGTCCATCATTGATTCCTAGAAAGATCCAATCGTGTATGAAACTGTCGGCCATATATTTACAGAAATTACTGGATCGAGCCAAAATCTTCAACTCAGTGAGGTGCGCGTTCATAGATTCGTTTGGGCCTCCGTTGCGCGAAAAGGAAAGGGAGCGCTGGTAGGTCGCGTTGATTTGACCTTCGCAAAATTCACTGCACTTTTCAATGATCGCCTCCACATTATTGGGATCTTCGCCTTTGCCGTAGTGCAGTGTCTCCATCACTCGGTCCGCGTCATCCCTGGCCGCGTGTCAAAACATGGCCAAGCGATACGCCATCGGTTGCTCGTCCAAACGTACTAAGGTGAAGAAATCCGTCCCGTTTTTCCTCCGTAGACGCCAATTACTCACCAAGTTCCGTTCATTCATATTTACTGGGGTAGGCATCTGAATAAACACTGGTGATCCAGATAGCATCGGAGCGCCGCCGGTGGGGTTCGTCTTTGTCTTCTCTGACACCACGTTGAAGAACTCAGTCCTTCAGGGACAAACGTTTATTCAGCAAAGTCAAGTGCGCCAAAATTACAACATATTTGGCAACCCAAACTTCTCGATACAACTTGCACGTTCAAATCCATAAGTAACGACCCTTCCGAGTCGATAAGGTTCCTCCTTTGTTTCAGTTAAACAGAAGTGAATCCCTCACACGAATATCGCCTAATCCGAGTCCCGTAATCGAATCCGTCACACCCGCCTTCCAGTGGCTGTTTGGCTCTCTCGGTTGGTTCATCTGCTCACGCTGTCTTATATCCGAACACATGTATACGCCTCAGCGTCCTCATACCCACAGGCCTCCAAAATTTACTAACCGCAGTTTGATTGACGCTCATGGATTAGGTGTAATTCACCAGAAATCCATACTTGGTTCGATCCCCGCTACGGAACCGTGGGAATGCGCACTTTGACGAGCCTCAATTGGGTGAAACGTGTCCCGTGCTATTCCGGATTTTCTTTGTGCTATATAGCTTGTTTGCTGTTGGGACGAAATTTTAGTGACGCCTGGAAAACGAATCGGCGGGTCCTGTTCCCCGAATTTACGTGGGGGTTGATGAAAGCCTCTAACCACGTGCAAGAGCCAA